GCCCACTCACATCCTGGGCCATCTTATCTCAGGAATTCGCATGATAAGGTGGGGCCAGGTTTCACAATGAACTCACCCGAAACTCTGGCTGATTGGGACCCACACCCAGTTTCACACCTTGGCTCAGGCGATTAGAGGATCATCAGGGGGTCCTTTTGTCCCTCTGGAAGACCAAGAGTCACCTCTGCTGTTGAGGATAAATTCATCTGAGACACCAGCTTTAGAAATCTCACATTAACAGCACCTCAGATCAGAACCCAGATAAATGCCACGTAGAGTTCAAGTAGCAGACACATCTCTACATCAACTGTTCAGAGGAGACTGTGAATCAGGCCTTTATGGTCAAACAGCTGCTAAGAAACCACAACTAAGAAAAGCAACAAGCAGAAGAGATTTGTTTGGGCCAAGAAACACAAGGAGTGGACATTAGACCAGTGGAAATCTCAGCTTTGGTCTGATAAGTCCAAATCTGAGATCTTTGGCTCCTCCCACCGTTTCTTTGTGCAGAAATGGTGAACAATGATCTCCACATGCATGGTTCCCACTGTGAAGCATGGAGGAGGAGGTGTGATGGTGTGGGGGGGCTTTGCTGGGGAGACTGTTGGGGATTATTCAAAACTGAAGGCACACTGAACCAACCTGGTTATTACAGCATCCTGCAGCGACATGCCATCCCATCCGGTTTGGGTTTAGTTGGACCATCATTTAATTATTAATAGGACAATGACCACCAAACACACCTCCAGGCTGTGCCAGATGGCCTGGCCTCCAAAGTCACCTGACCTAAACTCAGTCAAGATGGTTTGGGATGAGATGGACCACAGAGTGAAGGCAAAAGGGTCATCAAGTGTTCAGCATCTCTGGGAACTCCTTCAAGACTGTTGGAAAACCAGGAGCTCATGAGCTCATTGAGAGAATGCCAAGAGCAGTAATTAAAGCAAAGGGTGGATATTTTGAAGAATCTAAAATATAAAACATGTTTTGAGTTATTGACACTTTTTTGTTTACTACATAATTCCATATGTGTTCATTCATGGTTTTGACACCTTTAGTAAGAACCTACAATGTAAATCGCCATGAAAATAAAGAAAAAACATCAAATTAGGGGATGTGTTGAAACTTTTGACTATATCTCAGTTTTGCATTCACATTTTTTTTCAAGTGATGAGATGCTGTTGTATTTCTTATTTTCCCCAGGTATGTATGGGCCAGATGAGGGCTGGGCATCTGCCTACCCACAATGTGGAGAGAGAAACCAGTCACCAATCAATATTGTGGATAAGGATACCAAAATATCCAGAGAATATCAGGAGCTGACACTGGAGGGTTTTAACATAGAATCTTCAAATAAGACATCTATGAAGAACACTGGCAAAACAGGTAAACATAACACATGTTCTGTTTGTCCTTTTGTTGAAGTTTCTTTTTTTGTTCTTGATTTATGCTTCCCTTTGCAACAACAATCTTTGTCTTTCACCACCACTTTTAGGAGGGGAGATAATTTCTACACCTTGGCGTATCTTGTCTGACATTGTACAGGCATGAATTCTCACATTAACATTGACTTTAGCTGGGCAAGCTGAGAGGCCTGCAGCTTTTTCAGGTGGTTTGTTCGGCACTGTAGCAATCAGAATTATTTTCTGAAGGCCAAGAAAAATGCCCAGTGGATTTATTTTTTCAAGTGGATTATTACGGCTTTGACATCGTCCACTTAAATGATCTTTATGATTATTACTTAATTCATTTATTTTTAACTTTTAAGATATTATAAATGGAACAGACATGACTGGGGGATAGGAAAGGTAAAGATGTAGAATAGAAAAGTTCAAGAAAAGGAGAGGGGAAGAAAAATAGAGGGGAAGAGGGACAGAGAGAAAAGACAAAAAAAATCTGCTGGATCACCTGCTGGAAGAAAAAAAAAGCAAAAAGAGAACAACCACAAGAGAAACCACAGCAAGAACCTAGATAAGTGTAAGTAACAGTGACCAATAGATACTGAATGTTAATGAGCAGCGCGCAAGACCGACAATGCATGACGTGCTTTGACGCAGCAGCCAAGGAAGATACAGTATGTGTCTGTGCACACCTGTGTGCATGAGCGCGCTTATATACAAAAGGTTTCTCCACTATCTGATAGTGGGTGTTGGGAGCCATAGCCCTGCCCCCCAGGACATCAAGCAGGCATGGAGGAGATCCAGGCCCCAAATATCTTGAGGCCCCCCAATGCACGAGAGCCCAAGGAGGACAATCATGCAACCCACCTAGAAAGAGCTTAGGATAGTCCCAGACAGGGGGGTCATGCAGCAGCCACATTGCAGAAGCTACAGGGGGCTGTGACGATGTGCCTGCAGGATCTGCCGGCAGCCAGCTGTGTCAGAGTGGACCTAGACCTGGGCCTGAAGGGCAGTTCAGAGTTCAGGTGTACATTTAACACATTTTTGTGAAAAATTCTAAATATGTCAGCAGGTTGATAAATGCAGTTATAGTTAACATTTATATGATCTGTGCAACTTTGCTTATCATGTCAATGGATTTCATGACTGTTGGGCTGTTATGAGGGCCCAGGCCCCACCAAGCAGCCACCGGGAGTGAGCTAGTACGTATCTGAGCCCCCAGCCCTGGATACCGAGAACCACCAATGCACTGACAGCTGAGGGCATCAGCCACTGGCAGGGAGTGTGGTGGTGGGAGATAGATCCCTACACCAGGGGGGCCCAGGTGTTCCCAGAGAGGTGGAGTCTAAGACCCGACCTGACACATACACACAGACAAACAGGCACACACAGACACAAACATGCATTCCCACCCTCATGCACACATATACAAATACTCAGCACTTGCCCACCATGGAGACACACAGAACAGCAGCAGGGAGGCCCAGCATCCCAGACCCCGACCAGACGGCCAACTACTCCTCCCGAACAGAAAACGGGGGGGAAGAACCCATACCTCTCTCCGCCAACTCATATGTGTTGCTGTGTGCTGTTCTAAAGTGCATTTAAAACACGGGAGGGGCATGGTGCTTTCTGCAAGAAAGCAGCAGGTGTCAGCATGGCCCCTCCCGAGAGCCCTCTGTTAAGTCTATTTGTTGAATGTTTGTCATTATGCTTCTTAAATTTGGAAGGTCTGAGTTCAATCTATAGGATCAAGACATTCCTTTGTCCCTGAGCACCTCTCCAGCCACTCTGTGCTGGGGGAGGTTTTATGCAGAAACATCCTATCTGAAAGATCTGTTTCTTGTGATGTTGCTTCCTGCTTATGTGATCCTTTTGGTGAGCAGGAAGTCATGCACACAGAGACACATGCACACAGAGAGACACACATTCTCACACACTCACTCAAACGCACACACACACATTCTTACCTGCATACATACACACACACACACACACACACACACACACACACACACACACACACACACACACATACATACAGTGCCTTGTCTTTGTAACCAGGGGGGGTTTACGAGGGGAGGTACTAATGTATTGTGTGAACTGTTTTCCCAATAAAAGGCAGCAAGCGGAGGCCGTCGTTGGGGTCATTTTGTGTTAGACACCGACGAGGCCTCCCTTACAAGTAAATCGATCGATTGCTGACTGTCTTGTTTTCTTCATGATGAATAAGTCTCTAAACCAGCGGGGCTTGTGGAAACACAGACCCAACACCCTCAATGTCTACATGTATTTAAAATTGAGAGGTGGGCCAGACGTGAGGTTGGATACACAGACGGTCCTCTGGACACCGCATAACGTGCCCACCCCCCAGGCCCTATATGTATGTGTTATGAGAGTGTGAGTAATGTGGATGTCTAAGTTGTGGAATAAAATTGAGGCACAGGTGGCCAGAAGGGGACAGAGGGGGAATGCCTCCCCTGCACCTCAGTGACACACCCATACCCCAAGGGAAGAGGGAGGCAGTTGGGTACAGGGAGGGAAGGAATGGGAGGGGGGGCAAGTACCCCCTCCCTGGGGTCAGCTCCCCTGCTAACCCCAGTGGGCACCCCCATTCCCTGGAATCTATCAAGGCCCGGGCCCACAGTAGCAACACTGCCAAATCCCACACAGCCCGGGGCAGCCCACCTGACCTCACTACAGAGGAAACTACACCTACCCATCATTCAATCATCTCCCAAACTACATAAGACAATAGACACCCAGGTTGAGTTCATTCTCCTCTGGGGTAACACTTTATAACACTATCCGTGAATAAGGTGCAAGTATCTTGTACTTACATGCAATTTTCTGTAATCAATAAACATGACGTGGTGGATCACATCTTTGGAAAGCTGAGTTCAGTTTCTCCAGCCACAGCCCACCTGAGGTTCCCCGCTAGAGGGTCCCTTCGTCGTTGCCATGGTCAGCCTGTGTTTTTTTTGGACTCTCTTGCTCCTGGTTGTTTTTGATTTAGACTCCACCCTGGTCAAGTGAGCTGTTTTTGTCTTGGGGCCATCAGGAGCTGGCCCCATTTAGGTTTATCCTCGTCCTGCCTGTCACACAGCACTAACCCTGACACCACTTGTGAATGTGAAAATAAATGGTAAGTGGTCTGTATTTGTATAGCGCTTTACTTGGTCCTAAGGACCCCAAAGCGCTTTAAACTATACACAATCATCCACCCATTCACACACTGGTGATGGCAAGCTACAGTGTAGCCACAGCCGCCCTGGGGCGCACTGACAGAGGCGAGCATAGTGTTTCAATTCTCTCTATATCTCAGCAAATTGCAATAGAATGACAAAGGACCCTGTAAGGGACTTTGTAAGCAACTGAAAAACAATTCTGCCTGGCAAATTAGCCCCACATGTGAGAATATGCTTTATAAGCTGATGGAAACTGACGGAAATGATCTTTAGTGAGGATGTATTCCTCAGAGAAAATCTGAAGGAGAAACAGACCTATATTTAGCATGTCTTAGAATATGTTTCTTTAATTTATGCATGTAAAGCTGTTTCATGCTGTGCATGTGCCCACATTCTGATGGTGTTTCAAGGAACCTTTGAAATTGTCTTCATGTCATCGATAGATGTCACATTTTTGTTTCTGTATCTGTTTTTAAAGAGAAATTATTTCCATGTCTGCTGAAAAATCTGATAAGTAATGAATCAAAGCTCACTTTTTTCATCTACCCACATAGCAAAATTGGTATGGCCCGGATCTGGCTTACACGTGGCCACACATGGGCCAGCACAAGGCCATTTGCAGACACACTGGTGGTCCTGTGCTGGCCCAGAACAGTTTCAACTCTGGGCCCAGATGTCAGCCTAATGTGTACCTTAATCAAGCCGTGTAATAACAACATGTGCCAGAACATAGGAGTGCAAAAGTAACATGACGAAACTCTGTTCAGACAGTGAATGGACTGATTCTTATATTGCACTTTTCTACTCTCCTGGATTACTCAAAGTGCTCTATACAACATGCCACATTCACACACTTTCTCTAAACTGAGTGCTTTCTTACTACATTTATACACATTCACATTCTTGACATGCAGACCGGAGGAGCCAGGGATCAAACCACTAATCTTCCGACCAGTAGGTGTCCTGCTCTACCTCCTGAGCTACAGCCACCCAGTGGGAAGCATGAGTAAACCCTTACAAGGTTTTGGATAAAGTGTACACTCCCAAACCTGTCAAACCTGGTTTGAATTTGAATTTGAATTTGAAACATTGGCTACCATAGCAGTATAGTATTGCAACATGGCATTTGGGTCTTCTAACTAAAATAGGAAAATAGGAAAATAAATAGTGCCATCATTGCCAGGCCTGGCCCATATCTGGATGACATACCACTTACCATGCCAGAAGTCAGTCAGCAGTGCCCGCTTGACACCAGATGCGGGCCAGACCTGCCTGCTATGTGGGTAATCACTGTTTTTTTTTCTCTCCTCTTCTGTATTTCTTCCAGTCGCCATCATGTTGAAAGATCATTACTTTGTTCGGGGAGCAGGTCTACCAGGGAGGTTTAAGGCAGAAAAAGTAGAGTTTCATTGGGGCACAAGCAATGGATCGGAGGGCTCTGAACACAGTATCAATGGCCAACGTTATCCTGTGGAGGTAAGCTCAATTTTCTAAGGAAAAAAATACAATATAATTTAAAATGTTTGAATATAATTTTTGACTACATTTATATTTCACCTTTAAAAGGTGTTTACCTTACCTTGTTTGGTAGACTTCTTTTCAGCACAACCTTAGATGTCTTTACTTTTTTTTTCAATTTCGACATATTGTATTGACAAAATTTACTTTCTATTGCATGAAAAACATAAAATCCAAGTAGGCAAAAATTATTATTTTTTTACTGTGAAAACAAACACATTTAAGGAATCATTTTTATAACTTGAGATGCAAATATAAATTATAAAAAAAAAATATGAATTGTGCAAACTTAAAAAATACATGCAATGGCCGGGGTGGCTTTTGTGCAACTATTTAAAACTTTTTCCTTTAGAACTATCAGGTGTCATAATAAGGTGCTACACAAATTATTTGTGCCATTCCACCACGAGACTGAGGGACAGGCCTTAGACCCAAAGACTTGACAACAGGAGCTGTATCACTTTGTCTGTTTTCCACGCAGAGACAGCATTTACATTTCAGTGTCCCTGTCGTGGCTATTTGGCCAGCATCTGTGTCATTCAACAGCCACCTTATTGTTTTGACACATAATACAAAAAAAAGCAAAAAATACTACACTACAAACCAACTACACGCTCCAAACAAGCTAATGTCACAAATCTCACATCTCAAATCTCGCTCTCTTGTCGCTGTCACTATCCCCGCTTCCTAAGCAAGCAAATGTCAAATGTTATCATATAATGTTTGTTTTTGGTTGGCATTTTGCTATTGACCCACAGGTTTCTGTAAGAACATACGTAGGCTGCCATGACAGACCAGTACTTCCGCAGTTCGGTTACTCAAAGTGAGAGCCAGCGTTCACTCGTTGCTAACAAAAAAAATCGGTTACTTTGTGCTGTAATTAGCGGCTTTACCTGTTCGAGGATGAGCTCAATTGCTAACTTTACTGTTGCAGTGATGGCGAGGTTTCATTGGTGCTTTACGAACACTAGACTTTATTGAACTATCAATAAAGTCTTGGTGTGCAAGGTGATATGGTGCACACTGGGAGTTCACATTGCACTGTTGCTCTGCCCTGTGACGTCTGTCTTAGTTTATCTTAGTTTATCTGTCTTAGACGTTTGGATTCAAGCCTCTTTTCTGTCCCTGCATTCCACCTGCGCTGCTCGTCTGTACATGCAAGCCTCGTCTTTCCACTCATCACAGCGTTCTGCACCTGCAACAAACATTAATAGTATTTTCTCACTGTCAATACTCAAGATTTAACATCATGAGGAAATTTACACTAACAAAAGTACTACTGTGTCTGTTTATATCAGTGGTGGACAAAGGGCTGGTGTCCTGCATGTTTTAGATATGACCCTGGGTCAACACACCTGAAACATATCTAAACCACTGAAATAAAAGTACTGGCAAGGTCACCCATATTTTCCATTTCATATCAATAGTCAGTTGCTTTTTGATAATTTTTGATAATTTTTTTTCAAATTATTATATTCTGCATATACTACGCAGTGTCACATTTTCTTATAATATTTTATTAAAATATTATAAGAATATTATTTTTTATCTTTGTGTGATTGTATAGCATACAGCCCACACAAAGTTTAAACAATGAGTGGCTTCCACATGTAAACAGTCAACAGCTCCACGCAGCACTTACCCACATAGCAAAATTGGTATGGCCCGGACCTGGCCCACACAGTGTGCTTACACATGCTCCACATACCCCAAAGAATGACGGCCCTTTGGTGCCCCAGATCTGGTTTGCCAGATGTGGTCCACACATGGGTCAGCACAAGGCCAGTTGCAGACACACTGCTGGTCCTGCGCTGGCCCAGAACAGTTTCAGCTCTGGACCCAGATGTCAGCCTAATGTGTACAATAATCAAGCCATGTACTAACAACATGTGCCAGAACATGCAAAATAGTGCGAAAGTAACATGACGAAACTCTGTTCAGATAGTGAATGGATTGACTCTTATATAGAGCTTTTCTGGTCTCCCAGAGTACTCAAAGTGCTCTATACAACATTCCGTCAATCACACATCTTCTTTAAACTGAGTGCTTCCTAACTACATTCTTACACATTCAGACTCTTGACATGCAGACTGGAGGAGCCAGGGATCGAACCACTAACCTTCCAATCACGAGGTGACGTGCTTTACCTCCTGAGCTACAGGTTTTGGATAAAGTGTACACTCACAAACCTGTCAAACATGCATTTTAAACGTTGGCTACCATAACAGTATAGTATTGCAACATGGCATATGGGTCTTCTCAAATAGGAAAATAGGAACATAAATAGTGCCATCATTGCCAGACATGGCGCACATCTGGTTGACATACAATCTGCCATTACACCAGTCAGTCAGAAGTGCCAGCTTGATGCCAGATCAGGGCAAGACCTGTTTTCTATGGGCCTAGGCCACATAAACCAAATCACAATCGAGCCCGATATGGCATGCCATCACATAGACAGTGCCATCTATGCCACGCCTGGCCCATATCTGGATGACATACATCTTATCATGCCAGAAGTCAGCCAGCAGTGCCAGCTTGATACCAGATCTGGGCCAGACTTCCTTGCTATGTGGGTAACTAGATAGCAGCAGCGTGACTCCTCAATCACAGCCTTCCAGAGTTTCTGTTTCAGTCATTTAAACATTTTGATATCCTGTTACACCCCGGCCTAGGCAACCGGCCTAGGCAACCGGCCTAGGCAACCGGCGTGCAACGTATGAAAATAAAAATAAGAAAAAAACACACGAGAAAAAAAGCTAAAGCTCTCCACCAAAATCCCAAAACGAAGGTGTCTCAAACGAAAATATTAACAAACCCATTCACAGCTATTTACAACAAACTATTTATTTACAGCAAAACACCAAACTATTTAAAACACGGGGGAGATCACGACCATGACCAACTGACACACAGGGCTTAAATACATAGAAGGAGCAATCAGGGAATGGACCACAGGAGGGAAACACAGCTGGGGCAAATTAGACCTGACGAGACAAGGAAACGTAAACTGAACACACTAAGATAACACCAGACCTTCAAAGTAAAACAGGAAACACATGACAGTCACGCAAAAACAAAACACTGACAACACCGAAACGTAACAATCCACATAGGTGATATACCTTCCACAGAGTAACAGCTGCATGACTACATGATTTCCCGCGATTTCCAGCGATACAGGAACAGCCGGGTGTCTCGACTACTCCACTTTCCCTTAGCACAGAGGTTCCCAAAGTGTGGGGTGCAGAGCCATTGCAGGGGGGAGGGGGGTGCGGTATGAATATGAAAAACGACAACAACAAAAAAATGCTTGGACATTGGGGCGCCCACACAAACGCAAAGCAGGAGATGAAGCATGGCCAAATATGTTCCCAAACCAACTTCCTTCCAATCCAAATACTAGAAAATATGATGAAGCATGTCTTCCATTTGGCTTCACCTGCACAAATACAAGGTAGGTCTCCCTGACAGAATTTGTTTCCCCTGCGTGAGGAACACACGCTGCGCTGTCCAAATCATGGACAAACAGTAGCCAACCTTCTTGATTTTGATTTTGATTTTGCCTGAGCCAGAAATATTATAATTCTGATCACGCATCAGTACATTTCCATATTTTTATATCCAGAGGTGTGGACTCGAGTCACATGACTTGGACTCGAGTCAGACTCGAGTCATTAATTTTATGACTTTAGACTTGACTTGAAAAAA